CCAGAGCGAGGAGCAAAGACTGAAGGCTCCAGCCACAGCGAAGACTGTGTCCAGAGCGAAGATGAAAGGCGGTGGCCAGAGTGAAGGTCTGGGTCCCAGGTGCCAGAGGAAAACTGGTGCTGGCAGCCAGGGGAAAGAAGGCCTATTGCATGAATCTCTTCATGCAACGGGCCTCTAGTCTATATATATAAAACCCTAACATGCAAATAAACCGAACAGCGAACAACTGAACCAGTCGCTATGACGTGTGCTGACCACCAGGGGGCCGCTGGAACATGGCAGGCGTCGGCAGCAGGCGACAGAGAGCAGAACATGGTGGGTGTAGGCTGCAGTAGGATGGTGGAGCAGGTGAGTGGGGCGCCAGTGCTGTCATTGAGGCGAGCCTCTTGTGGTTACTGAAAATTCTTTGCTCCTGCACGCCATAGTCCCACCCAATGCTCACACCTCCTGCCAGCGCCAGTCCCACTTGTACCCGCTGCCGACACCAGAGCTGCCACTCGCATCCGCTGCCAGCGCCTGGCACCGGCCTTGATAGCTTGGTGTCATCAGCAGGTGTGAGTGGCACCTGCCAGCCCGATTGGCAGGCAGGGGACTGGGGCTGTGGCAGGAGGGGCTGGGCAGGGGCGTGGAATATGGGCCGAGATCTGCCCCTGTGCCCACCGCAGCCTCATGGCCCACAGTTCCTTTCAAGGTGCACGAATTCGTGCACTGGGCCCTAGTATTCTATAAAAGACATAACAATGTTTGTGAAATTTGGATTCCAGCATTGAACAAGTTTGCAATCATGGACAGTGTAATAACTGAATTTATTAAATGTATGCCGTATGCCAAGAATTATACTAAGAGCTTTATATGCATTATTTTATTTAACCATTTCGTACGTGAGGAGAAGACTAAGACTCAGAGATATTAAGAAACCACCGCCAAGGGTACATACCAACTAAATGCAAGCTTGAGGTCTGAATACAGATCTCTCTGACTCCAGAACCCATGCTCTCTACCAATATACTTACATGGCCTCCCTTGAAGCAAATTTGTGTCTATTACATGAGGCTAAATGCTTTAAAACTCACATTGTCATTTTACTAACCTTCATAATTCCTCTACTCACTGGAGTGCTGGAAAAACATTGAATAAATATCTGTTTTCCAGTTAAGAGAAGAAAATGTGCAAGCAAAAAATAATAATGCTGTATATTCAGTACTCAAATTTCATTAAAGGCAGCACAATAGCCAGCTTACTTTTTTAAATAAAAAATAAATTGGACTTCTAGTCCTAATGCAAATTCATCATATAGAGTGTTGGTATAAAATGTTCTCATGAATCGCTCTTAAAAATAGTACCGCAGACCATTTTTAAAGTCGCTGATCTTTATCTGCTGCATTCTAAAAGGTAAACTCTAAATGATAACAAACTTAAAGTTATTTATCAAATAATTCAAACACCTGCTTAAGAAAAATATCATTGCTAATAAGATAGGAAAGCCTACCTTAACATAGCTTTGTTGAGAAAATTCCTTTATTTCTATGGCAAGTTGTACTTAACAGGCATTAGACTGGAGGGAAGAAGGAACATCAGGGCCAAAAACAAAAATTCATAGTGATTTAATCTGTCTGAATCACGAGAAGGTTATAATAAAGAAAATCAAATACAGAACAATCAACACATCAACTTGTTTTAAAACAGTATGTACACAAAAAATATTGGTTTCTATAATATATCCCTGATGTTGCAAGATTAGCAATAAAAAACAATTTTCCCAGGAATTTCAATAAAGAAAAAGCACTGAACAAAAATACCACAAGTCTCAAAAATGTCAAGGAAATGCAGTCCAGAAAGAGAGTCCAAATATTAAAACCATTACTTGAGGAATGCCTGTTGAATTCAAAGATTCGGACAAGGTCTAATTTCACTTCATTTACCAACTTTCTTATAGCACATCCCAGCAAGTCTTTCTTAAGATTCTTTACATTCTTCTGTTGCATCTTCAGTCTCCTGTTCATCTGCACATTAAAAACAATAACCAACGTTGTTAGGCCATCAGACATGTGTACATAATTAAGAAAAATCATTATCCCAAACTCTGACATCCTAATCACATACACCTTTGCTCAAATTTGTTTTCCCTTACTCACATTTCATTCAGCCTATACAACAGTAAACCCTTTTACACGTGAGAAAATAATCACATACTCATTTAATACTTAATGGACAATCACCACAAGCTGCATACAAAGTTTACAAGAAAAAGTGAAAGGTAAGGTGCCTGCCTTCATTGAGATTACAGCTGACAGAGAATTTTCTGGGTTTCAAGAATTAAAATGGGACTAGCTCAGAGAGAGACCAAGATGGCGGCATAGGTAAACACCGTGGTTAGAGCATCAACCTGCAGACTCAAGGGTCTCGGGTTTGATTCCGAGGCAAGGACACATACCTCAGCTACAGGCTCAATTCCCATCCTGGCGGGGGCTGGTCGGGCCACCTGTGGGAGGCAACCAATCAATGTGTCTCTCTTACATTGATGTTTCTCTCTCTCTGTCTCTCCCCTTCCCTTCCACTCTCTTTAAAAATCAATGGGAAAAAAAACATCCTTGGTTGAGGATTAACAAAACATATGCATTTGGAGACAGGCATAAAAAAAAATTTTTTGGCTTTAAACTAAGCTTTTGGGAAGTAGGGCAAAACTAAACGTAAATACATTTAGAGTAGACAAGAACTTATCACCTTTCATTTCTTTAAAATTATGACATTAACAGAAGTGGAATGGAAATAATCTTCTCCCAACCTTGGTGAGGTTATCAAAAAAGGCAGAATTGATCACAGAACCAAAGAAAAGGAGACAACAAAAGAGAATCAGGAGAAACTGGAACCCTCATACACTGCTGGTGAGAATCCAAATGGTGCTGCTGCCTTGGAAACCAGCCTGGCAGTTCCCGGAAAGGTTCACATAAACCCAGCAATTCTATTCCTAGGTATATGCCCCAGCGAGAAAACATACATCACCCCAAAACCTGCACACCAATATTCACAACAGCACTGCATATACCACCAAAAAGCAGAAACAGCCCAAATGTCCATCAACTAATGCAGTGATGGCGAACCTATGACATGCGTGTCAGAGGTGACACGCGAACTCATTTTTTGGTTGATTTTTCTTTGTTAAATGGCATTTAAATATAGAAAATAAATATCAAAAATATAAATCTTTGTTTTACTGTGGTTGCAAATATCAAAAAATTTCTATATGTGACACAGCACCAGAGTTAAGTTAGGGTTTTTCAAAATGCTGACATGCTGAGCTCAAAAGGTTCGCCATCACTGAACTAATGAATGGATAAGTAAAATGTGGCACATCCATACAACAGAATGTTATTCAACAATAAAAGTAACGGAGTGCTGATATGTGTGCCGCGTGGCTGGAACTTGAAAGCATGTGTTAAATGTCACCAGCCAGACACAAAGGCCACATATTCTATGACTCTACTTATGCGAAATGTCCAGCCTAGGCAAATTCATAGAGACAGGCAGATTAGTGATTGCTCAGGACTTGGGGGGCTGGGGAAAAGGGGGAGTGATTGCTAATGGGTGCAGTGTTTGTTTTGGGGGTGAAGTGTTATAAAATTGATAGTGGTAAAAAAAAAGCCCAATTCTGTGAATATATTGAAAACCATTAAATTGTATAGTATTGTTGAACAGTGGCCCAAAAAATCATTACATCCATATCCTTATGCCTGGAACCTGTGAAAGTTACCTTACTGGGGAGAAGGGTCTTTGCAGATGTAACTAAGCTGAGGATCTTGAGATGAGACTTACTGATCACCCTGGAATACTCAGGTGGGCCCTACATGCAACAACAAATACCCTTATAAGAGAAGGGCGTTTCACACACACACACACACACACACACACACACACACACATGCACACACATGTACACACAGACACACACACACACACATGTATGCACATAGACAGGCAATGTGAAGACATGTGGAATGATGTGACCTATATAGCAAGGAGGCCAAAGAATGTCAACAGCCTGAGAAACCGGAAGAAGGAGACAATTTCCTCTGGAGCCCCAGGCAGAGTGTGGCCTTGCTGACACCCTGAGTTCAGACTGCAGGCCTCCAGCACTAGACACACACACACACACACACATGTATGCACATAGACAGGCAATGTGAAGACATGTGGAATGATGTGACCTATATAGCAAGGAGGCCAAAGAATGTCAACAGCCTGAGAAACCGGAAGAAGGAGACAATTTCCTCTGGAGCCCCAGGCAGAGTGTGGCCTTGCTGACACCCTGAGTTCAGACTGCAGGCCTCCAGCACTATAATGTCTGTTGTAATTTATTATGGCAACCATAGGACTCTAACACAGGTTTATGAAATATATGACAACAATGCTGTTATTTTTTAAAAAATCAGTCTAATAATTAAGGGACATGATTTGTAGTTACAGAAAGTAAAGTGAAAAATGTAGTAATGTTGTCAACCCATGGAGAAGAAATATTAAACAGGATATAGAGGAAGTCGGGGTAGATAAGAAGTGGACCTCAGTATCCCACACCTACCATGAGTACTGATAAGACCATACACGACCCCATGCCTTCATAGGGCTCTTCCTCTTATCTGGAGTGTTCTCCTTTTTGCCGCCCAGTAAATGACCACTCATCCTTGGAGGCTCAACTCAAATGCCACCTGCCCACATCCACAGTGTTTGTCATCCCTCTGGAGTGCTGCCATGTACTTTGTCCCGAAACCCTTATTACACTTGTCCCACCCTGGTGTGATTATGTCCCACCCTGCTGTGATTATCGGCTTACGTGCCTGTCTTCTTCAATAGACTATAAAATAATTCAGGGTAATGATTGTGCCCTACTCACCTGATACCCTGGAACAGTGGTTCTCAACCTTGGCTGCACATTAGAATCACCTGGGAATCTTTTTAAAATCCTGATTTCTGGGCCTCATCCTCCGGAAATTCTGTTTCTTTGTTATGGGGTGGGGCCACAACATTAGTAACAAAGAAACAGAATTTCCGGAGGATGAGGCCCAGAAATCAGGATTTAAAAAGATTCCCAGGTGATTCTAATGTGCAGCCAAGGTTGAGAACCACTGCCCTAGAACAATGTCCTCAATAACAAATACAATGGAGCCTGGAGCCTGGAGCAGTGGTGTTAAAGCATGGCTGCACAACAGAATCACCCAGACCCCATATCCCCAAAAGTTGTCTTAAAATATGCTGATGCCCCCTAGACAGTGTGGCTCAGTGGATAGAGCATTGGCCTGGGCACCAAAGGGTGAGTGTGATTTCCAGTCAAGGGCATGTACCTGGATTGCTGGTTCAAAACCCTGGCCCTGGCTGGGGCATGTCTCTCTCACATTGATGTTTTTCTCTCCCTCCCTTCCTTCCACTCTCTCTCAAAACCAATGGAAAAATATCCTTGGATGAGGATTAACAACAACAACAAAAAAATACTGATGCCCACAGCCAACCCTTAGAAATTTATTTAATTCATCTGGAACAGAACCAAAGCATTAATGTTCTAAATCTCACCAGGTGATTCCACCAGAGTTTAAAAAACACCGTCTAAGGCAGTGGTTCTCAACCTTCCTAATGCCGAGACCCTTTAATACAGTTCCTCATGTTGTGGTGACCCCCAACCATAAAATTATTCTCATTGCTACTTCATAACTGTGATTTTGCTACTGTTATGAATCCTAATGGGAATATCTGATATGCAGGATGTATTTTCATTGTTACAAATTGAACATAATTAAAGCATAGTGATTAATCACAAAACAATATGTAATTATATATGTGTTTTCCGATGGTCTTAGGCGACCCCTGTGAAAGGGTCGTTCGACCCCCAAAGGGGTCGCGATCCACAGGTTGAGAACCGCTGGTCTAAGGGATGGACTCAGAATAGCTTAAATGCCAGACAGATCAGAGACAGATACCAAATAGAAAGGTCTAAATATCAAAAGTATACAAAGCATAGATGATCCCATACTCACTATATATGTTTCCAAATAAAATATTAACCATGAAAGAGTGAAGAATTCAAGCTACAGCCTGCTTGCTTGCTCAGTGGCTACGGGGAAGGTTAACCAAGGAAGGACAATAGGGTTGGTGGGAGAGATAAGAAGGCAATCTGGAACAGGTAGTATCATCATCAAAATGAAATTTAAGAAGAAAAGCGGAATTGAGCAGATGGGGGGAAAGATACCTTCAGACACTGTTTTCATCGCCATCATATACACTAGTGTTTTTTTACAAACCTAAAGTAGACTGGCCAGCAAACCGTGCAGTCCAGAGCTGCTCTCAAATCACCCGCTGGGGTCATCTTGCTATTGGGTACAGCCTGTACAGCAGTAAACCCTTTGCAGACTCTGGTACGGTAGATGTGGGTCAGGCCTGATTCGGCATTTCTAACAAGATCCCAGGTAATAACAATACTGCTGGTCCATAGGTCTCGTCTACAGTCATGGACTTTAGTAGCTTTTCCTTTTACCCAATCTGATCAAAGCAATGGAATCAGGAGTTCCCAATAACTGATAAAGTGATCAGTACTACAGTTAAATATTAAAACTCTCCAATTTGCCATTGTTCACTTGATACTACTAACAAAATGATAGAGAAATTGGCATTTTATATATAGGTAGAGGAAATAAGTGGCAAATATTTACATGTAAAGTCTACATCAAGAACTGGATTAAAGAAATTCATTAAAAATAACTTGGAAAGATACATTCATCAGATATAAACTTATTATATACCAAAATTTTGTATCAAAAGGAATTAACACTGAAATTTCCTAATATGGCAGCTCTGATAATTTGAGCAAATAAACTTTGGATGAGGGCTTTGATTAATTACTAAGAGCATCTGAGGAGCAATTAGCAGCCTTGAAAAGCAATTTAACAAATAATATCTAGGAGGCCTGAAGGCACACACTGTGTGAGAGTAACAGCACTCCATCAAAGCAAGGACTTAA